CAAGTACACCTATAAATTAAATTTTCGAGGGGTTAACATAGATCTAAATAAACTCAACCCGATGTAACAACTTTTAAAGACTTACCATTTGTCCACAGGCACTTCTTTTTCGTAACGTTGTCTTAAAATCTCAACGGAAAGCCCATCTTCATCTAATTCATCGTCGTCTTGTGAACTTGATTCACTTTCGCTAGCCAATGGTTCGTTTTGGTATGGTAAATACTCGCCAGAAAACACATATTCGTTCTCGCTATCATCGCTTACATCACTATTCTCAATATCTGATGCGTTAGAAATCGAATCGAGATCGGACATTGTAAAAATTGAATTGCGAACGTCGTAGCTTGCGATATGAATAGTCTTTTCAAAGTGTTTGCACATGGAGTCAAAACAACAACTCTAACGTGTGACGTCACAAGCCGCAATCTCTAGTTCCCAGTCCTCTGGAAAATTTCAGGCTACTTTAAGTGAGGAAAAAACAAACTTCCCGAGGTTTAAGAAAAAAATAAATCATACCACGAGATTCCCCGTATCAAAATGTGTTACATTTGCGTATAAAGTTTTAGAGGAAAATTTCGTTTCATAGGCACTTTAACAAAAACCAAAAAGAGCCAAGGGGACAAAACACCTCCTTGTCAAGTGCCTTTGATCGCTGAGCCGACGGCGCAAAGCGCCGTGCGAGGTACTAATTCCACCCAGCTATTTACAGCCGGGAAAACGAAAGCATTAGCGAAGTCTAAAGTTCATCAATGATCGCTGGCGTGGGTCACCAATGGTGTTAACATGGTGGGTGGCCATCCTCACTGATCTCATAATATAGCGGACTGTTATTAATAGCCAACACTAATTGGTCCAATTTAAAATTTGCATTATAACGACTGCATGACGACAGCGAAATAGCAAACATTGCTTGACTTGATGATTTCTTGCAAATATATTTCATTTAATTTTGCAAGATTTTGTAAATTTGAAAAGCTTTTTGATAAAATAAAGGCGAATTGCTAAAATAAGAGAGTAAAAGCACCGACGTTAATGAAGGTGAATTTGTTTTAAATATTGATGCATTGTTTGCTTTTATTATACTGTAATTACTTTAAAAGCCGATCGTTTGCCAGGTTGCATATAAATATGAAACAAGACAGCATATTATTTCAGTGTTTCTTTATTGATTGCCCTTTTTATTATCATAAACAAAGTTATTTGCATGCAAGAATTTGGAATAATTTTATTTCGAACTCAAAGTTTATCGATACAGGCAGTTTAATTCTATATAAATAGTATATGAAAAGAGCACTTTAAAACGTTTTGCGAAGCGTTTGTGGTTGAATTTTACCTTCAATTGAAGCTTATATTACGTATAATTCGCCTTTATTTTATCCAAAAGCGAGCCTTGCGTATTGTATACCCTGAACAAACTTACAAAGATGTGTTGCTGTCGGCTGGTATCACCAAATTGGAGACTAGACGTGAAGATCTATGTTTGAAGACACTCACGAAGATAACCAGAGGTGGTCCGCTTACACAACACGTGACACAGACTAGATCGAACGAGCATAATTATTTTATTAGA